CAGTGGAGACCACAACCCTGAAAGAACACATTTGGAAAACTGCTGAATATTCTAGTGAGATATTCTCCTGGGACCTCCTCTAAAATGTCCACTCTTAAAATCCTTAGGACAAAGGACCCAGAACACTCTTCTCCCCTCCCCCCACAAAGCAACTTGCACAGGACTATTCCCCTCCACCTGCCCCCAGGCCTTTACCTTTAACTTCCTCACTCCAAAGCTCCAAGAGCTCTTCCTTTACCTCAATAGCTTGATTCCTAAGCTCTTCCCCCCCCTAGGAATTACTTCTTCTACCTCTATGATTTACCAAATCAATGTTCTCTTACAGTGTGGGTCTTGGCTTTGAATTCTTTCCTAGCCAGAACCCAGGTACTGAGGTTGCTGACCCCAGGTCCTGTCTGACCTCACAGGTCAGACACCTGGTGCCCTTCCCACTGTCTATAACAAGAAGAATTGTATGGTTTTCACAAAATAATTAAAAGGCAGCTAAAAACATGCATGTCATATTAGGAAGATAAAATAAAGTTAAAACCATTTTTTAAAACGAGGCATACAAAAATAAAATTAAGCAATTTAAGTGGCATCAGCAGTGGGAATAACTTATAAAATATATATAATGTAATCCTAAACACTTTTTACATTTATACCACATACTTGAGTCTGAATTTTCTGGCTGTAGTCTCAAAGAGGGATTCCTAGCAAGTCAGAAAACTGACAGTGTCCATCCATAAAGTTAAAAAAAATGAAGCAGTTTTGTGATTCCTCAAAAAGTTAAATATAGAATTGCTATATAATCTGTAATTCCTAGGAATATACCCTAAATAATTGAAAACAGGTATTCAGATACCTGTACCCCAGTGTTCATAACAGCATTATTAACCTTAATCAAAAGGTGAAAGAACCAAAATGTCTATCAATGGATGAATAAACAAATATCATTCAGCAAAAGAAGTAAATACTACACATGCTAAAACATGGATGACTTTATACTAAGTGAAGGGAGTCAGAAAAAAAGGTCACATATTATATGATTCCATTTACATGAAATACCCAGAATAATTAAATCCATAGAGACAGAAAGTAGATTAGTGGTTGCCAGGGTCTGGAGAGAGGGAGAACTCCTTAATTAGTACAAGATCTACTTTGGGAGTGATTAAAAAATGTTCTGGAACCAGGAAGAGGTGATGGTTGCCCAACATTGTAAATGATCTAAATACCGCTGGTTGTACACTTTAAAATGGTTAACTTGATGCCAGGTGAGTTTCACCTCCATTAAAAAGAAAATGAAGCAAAAACAAAACAAAAACAAATAAGTTGATGGAAAAGTGCAACTATTTCTAATTCTGAGACCAGAAAGAATATTGTTTAAGGAAATGAACCCTCAGCAATATATTTACTTGAACAAATTCTTTAGAAGGTCCTTCAGTGTAAGCTGATGTCATGATTATAAACGGCAACATGGGAAAAGGTATTTCACTGGGAACCAGGGTGTGTGGTGTTAATAATGTGGCTCAAGCCACACTGGTCTTTGATGAACAGGCTTAAGATTGAGATAAAACATCTAGAGGGATGCCTGACCAGCATGACTCCGTGGTTGAGTGTTGACCTATGAACCAGGAGTCATGGTTTGATACCTGGTCAGGGCACATGCCTGGGTTGTGAGCTAGTTCCCAAGGGGAGGGCCTACAGGAGGCAGCCAATCAATGATTCTCTCTCATCATTGATGTTTCTCCCTCTCTCCCTCTTTTTTCCTCCTGAAATAATAAAAACATATATTTTTTAAAAGACTGTTCTCTTAAAAAGAAAATCTAGAGGGAAAGATGGACTGGCAATCCTTCTGGAAATCATCATAAACGTTTCCCTTAGTCAAAACTTTGGAAGCAGGAGTGAAGTTGAAATTGCATTCCCTGTCAGTATGTGGTTGCAGATTGCCCATTTAGAGCCTCATGCTTGAAAAGTTAGCCAATCTGGAAGTAGGGGTAAGATCCACTGGTAAATGTGGAGAATGTTGGAAGCGAGTAGCGAAAATGCTGAGGCAGTGAAAGTTCTGAGAAAGTGTCAGATCTGATCAAACATCCAGACAAAGGATAATTATAATCCCATAGTTCAGTACAAAAAAATCAGTATCTTCAGTGGTAAGATTTCTTGTAGACTAAATGAGCCCATGTATATGAAAGCTCATTGTAAAGTGTAAAGTTCCTATCAATTGCAGTGTTCATTGTTATTAGTATCTGGCTATAATATACTATATGTAAACAACGTATTTGAACAGCATTTTCACAAAGTATTTATTCATCATTTTCAGCAAATACTATTGAATACTAATTGTGTGCCAAAAAAAAGTAGGAATATCAACATTTTAGAAAAGAATAAATTGAGATCACAGATTTGTCATATAACTTAGAGACTCTGAGACCTTTGATTCCTATTTCATTACAAACCTTGCTGCTCCTAAGGGCTAAGAACCATGAACCATGGTTGCAAAGCCCTTCATCTTCATTAACTAGTAAATCTGATTGTTTAAATCCTTTAAGAAAATTATCTCTCAGCAATATCTTTATTTGAACTCATTGTTAGTTTATTATCATTCTTTAGAAGGTCCTTCAATATAAGCTGATATAAAAGTTTCACCATTTATATTTCTATCTGTGCAGTGGCATTTTAACTGCTGTTACTTGGAGTTCTCATGAACCATGCTACCAAACACACATATAATGCTTGGGTTTACATTATTGGCTAACATTTATTGAGTGCACATTGTGTGTTAGGTATGGTGCTAAGCGTTATGCAGACATACTCTTTATTTAATCCTTATCCTTCCTCCTTTGTTCATGCAGAAACTAAGGCTCAGAACTGTTAAACAACTTTTTCAAAGCCACAGGCAGAAATATAAATGGCCTTACAATCCTTATAGAAGGGTATTTAAGGTTCATGAAAATCAGAGGCTGAATCAACAGATTTTCCTGATTCCTGCCTGAAGAGCCAGTAGGGTATGGAACTAATGCTGAACTAAGAAAAAAAGAGACTGGGCTGGGTCCATATCCAGTGTTGTTAACTACCCTGCTACACTGAGACACGGCTCAGATAAGTTTGTTAACAACTTCATTCCCCACCCTGCCGATTATGATAATAAATTCTGGATTATGATCATCATAGTGCTAAGATGTACTGTGTTGAACACCTTAGAAGTGTTTTAATAGTCATAGATTCAGGAACATTTGTAAATTTGTAAGTCTCTTGATAAAGAACAACTAGGTGTTCCTCCAGATAAAAGTCTGACTTTTTTCAAAGGAACTTTTGCTAAGAGAAGTCAAAAGTTCAGGTTATTATTATTATATTTTGCTGTTGGATTCAGGACATCGAAAAGCTGATATTTAAGTTTTAAACTAACTTTTTTTTTTCTGTAGATGTGTATAGGGTAAAATAATTCATTCAATCAAAAATTATTCTAGCATGCCAGATATTGTGCTAGGTGTGGCTGTATAGCTACCAGGGTGTAAGTCCTCACGAAGTATCAGCTCTGCCAGAGTTTGAAGAAAAGGGAAGCAATCTTTACCAAATTGGCCAAATTTTACCTCTCTGGGATTCATTTCTCATTTTGTAAATGAGGGGGTTGGATATCTAGGTCTTAATGTCTTTTTGTTTGTTTGTTTTTTACTTTGTGTGAAGGTTCCTTATCTCCACTATTCAATACCATGTCAAAATATTAATCTCATACTATTCTAACTTTGCAATTCATTGATTATTTCAACAGATGTTTATTGAACTACTAGGCGCCATAGGGCTGAAGTGGAGAAGAAGGAAAGCAAGGGTCCTCTGCTTGAGCTTAGAGTCCAACGGACTAACACAATAAAAAATTTAAATAGTAATTAAAAATATAGACGCATAAAAGCAATCATTCACAAAGACAAATAACTATAGGTTAGAAAGGTGCTAGAATGAAGCAAATAATAGGCTCTCTCTATTACAAAAATGATGACCTATCGAGGTCCTTAGATTTTAAAAGGGCAAAAACATGGTAATACCTTACAAAAAAAAAAAAAAAAAAAAAAAAAAAAAAGGAAATGAATAGACTTTACTTTTGAAGAAAATTGTATTGTGGCTGGTCTACCCTGAATCTTCCTTCTTCCTAGCGTGGAGGCTTCTCAAAAAGAGCAGCGAAGGAAACTCACTTTTTTTTTCTTCTCTTTTTTCCTTTTTTTGTAAGTCAAGCAGAAAGACAAAATGAAAAGCGAACTTGGGAGTCGGGCAGGGAAATCACCAATCTAGTCTGGCCTTTCCTTTTTTTTTTTTTAGTCTCGGTAGGCTTCCCCTCGGCAGAGTGATTCTTTGATTACCAGAAAACTCATGTCGTGAGCTTCCAGGGAGATTTTATTTCAATTATCCCTGCCCCGTGGCAGGATCCCGGGGAGAGGAGGTCAAGGTGGTTTGGCTGGAGGCAGCTCCCGGGCGGGCGCCGGGAAGGGCAGGGCGGCGAACGGCGCTGAAAGGGGAGGGAGAGACCGGGTGTGTGTGCGGCGCCCGAGGCCGGGGGGCTGGAAACCCCGCCGCCGCCGCCGCCGCGGGCGCCCAGGTGGCCGTTTCCCGCTCAGGTGAGCTCCGCCCGCGCCTCCCATTGGCCGCGGCGCCGCGGCGCTGGGCCGGCCACGCAGCCCGGTCTAGTTCAGGGTCTAGGGCGGCGCGTCACTTCCGGTAGCGCGGAGCTTGTAAAACACCCTGGAGAGAAGATGGCGGCGGCGGCGGCGGCTTCGGCGCCTCAGCAGCTCTCGGACGAGGAGCTTTTCTCTCAGCTCCGCCGTTACGGCCTGTCTCCCGGGCCCGTGACGGAGAGCACCCGGCCGGTCTACCTCAAGAAGCTCAAGAAGCTTCGAGAGGAAGAGCAGCAGCAGCAGCAGCAGCAGCACCGGTCCGGGGGCCGCGGCCACAAGACGCGGAACAGTAATAACAATAACACGGCAGCCGCCTCGCTCGCCGCCACGGGACCGGCTTCGGCGGCCGTTGGGATGGGGGTCCGGCCGGCGTCGGGAGACCTCGCCCACTTTCGGACTCCGGGGGGCCTGGGCCGAGTGTCGGCCTCCTCCGGCCCCTCGGGCCCCTCAGCAGGGCCCGGGGGCGCCTCGGCCGCCCCCACGGCGGGCAGCAAAGTGCTCCTGGGCTTCAGCTCGGACGAGTCGGACGCGGAGGTCAGCCCGCGGGACCAGGCCGGCGGCGGCGGCGGCGGCGGGAGGAGAGACCGGGCTGCGCTCCAGTACCGCGGGCTCAAACCGCCGTCGGCGGCGTCCGTGGCCGGCGGCGAGGTGACTAACAGCCCCGCGGCCGAGCGCAGGAAGCCCCACGCGTGGTGGGGGGCCCGGCGGCCGGCGGCCCCGGAGCTGCCGTCGCCCCCGTCGGGGAGAGACCGGGCGGCGCAGGACGGCGGCCGCCAGGAGGGCGAAGACCGCGAGGACCGGGAGCCCGAGGCCGAAGAGGCGGCGCTGTGGGCGAGCCGGACCGCGAACGGCAGCCGGCTCCTCGCCCACAGCTGCCGGGACAACTACTCGGACTCGGAGGAAGAGGGGGCCGGCGACGTGGCCTCCGGCCGGCAGGTACCGAAGGACGACTCCCTCTCCCGGCCCCGGCCCCGGCGGAGTCACGGCAAGTCGCTCCCTCCGCAGGCTGCGCGACCCGCCGGCGGCCGGCCGGAGCCCGCCGTCGTCCCGGGAGGAGGAGGAGGAGGAGGAGGAGGAGGAGGAGGAGGAGGAGGAGGAGGAGGAGGAGGAGGAGGGGGAGGAATCCCGATGAATGACAGGGCGGCGGCCGCGGGGAGTCTAGACAGAAGTCGAAACCTCGAAGAGTCGGCGGCGGCGGGGCCGGGAGGAGCGTGCGATGCCCTGGACTCCGGCCCGATTCCTAGATACCGTGTGAACGCCAAGAAGCTGGCCCCGCTCCTGGCCCCGCCGCTCACGGACATGGACGCAACCCTGGACTCGTCGTCGCCCACGGGCCCCCTTCTTAAAACCAACAATCACATCGGCGGCGGCGGGGCCTTCGGGGTGGACTCCGCCAGGGTTTTCCCCAACAGCGTCCCTCCCAGCGCGGCGGCGGCGGCGGCGGCGGCCCCGGGCTCCCTCAGGCTCAATCACTCCAACCACACGGGCGCCAATCACACCTACCTGAAGAACGCGTACGGCAAAGCCAAGCTCCCCGAGCCCGAGGAGGAACTTCTCCAGCAGTTTAAGCGGGAGGAGGTGTCCCCGACCGGCGGCTTCAGTGCCCACTACCTGTCCATGTTTCTCTTGACTGCCGCCTGCTTATTTTTCCTCATCCTGGGACTGACTTACCTAGGGATGAGAGGGACGAGCGTATCCGAGGATGGAGGACTCGGCAGTAAGTATTGAACCCCCCCGTGGGTAAGGTTAACAAAGGGAATGCTAACCGCACGGGGCATTTTTTTTTTTTTTTTTACGGGAGGTGACGTCTGGGTGCGAGAACATGGTTTAAGAGGGAAGGCAGCTGGTTGAGTGCCATTTGTGTCATTTTAAGAAAACATCATCACCATTATTAGGAGGAGAATCATGGCTGATTTAAAAATTTTAGTGTATGCTAAGGGAAATTTAAAACATCTTATTAAAAAAAAACACACACACACAAAACATGGCAAGCATGTTAGTAAAATGCATTTATTTAATTTTTCTTTAGACTTAACTATACGTATGATTCAATGAATCATAAAAGTTTTGAAGCATTTTGACTGTTAAAAGGCATCATAAATATAAAGTTGTGTGTGTTTTTCCCCCCCCTCAAATTGAGTTGTGATTCTGAAAGGCAGTGTAAGATCTGTTGAAATTCTGGTTCAATATTTCTGTAATTTAAAAAAAAGGTGAATAAATTCAGAAGGTAGGAAGGCACACCTCTAAATTGGTTTTCTAGCCCCAAGCATCTCTCTTTTCACCCACGAAAAAGGTAGTGGTGGGCCACGTAGGAGTTTGCAGTCAGATTTATCTGGGTTGGTTTTCAGCCATTTCCTTGTTAAATGGCTGGAGGGAGGTGTGTGCATTCATTCATTAAGCTAGCATCATCATCTGGGCTGGGCACTCAGGGAGCAGCAGTGTGAGGTGGAAGTATTCCTGTCCTTCAACACAAGAAGATGAATGCAGATCATTTTGTGTTTACAAAAGAAGTAAGGATCGAGTACTTGGTGTATGCTATTTTAGATTTGGTAAGAGTAGGTACAACTTAGGGCGAGACCTGAAGCAGGAGGAGACAGCATTGCAGAGAGGTATGAGAGCATCCTGGGCTGAGATTGTAGAAAGGCTTTGAGTTGAGCAAGAATCTTCTTGTAGGTTAGAATGGTTGGAGGACTTTGAGCCAAGGGGAGTGAACAGAGTTTGAGCTTTCCTTTTCTAATCTGTAAAATGATGCTAATATTGATTAGAATGATGCCTGTGAAGAATAAAAGAAAGTAAATTTATTGCATGATAGACAGCTGAATGCATAATTTCTCAGCTTTTTCCTCACTCCCCCTGAAACTTCCTACCCATTTCACCCAACGTGAATTCACTGTATCATGATTTGAATTTCTAAAATTGGCTTAGTATTAGGTTTATTCAAAATAATGAATGATGCAGTTAGACTTAGATAAAGAGTAGGAGTGAAATAGTGTAAGCCTGGATTTGGATACAGCCAATTTTAAGGTAAAGAATAGATTATTACTATTACCATATTGCTTAAAGAAGTTAGAAGAGGACTGAAATACAGCACTCATTTTAATTGGTATCCTGGGAGCAAGTGTGATATTCTGTCCTGCCCCAGATACTTGGGAGAAAAAAGTATTAAGATCACCCTTGGAGTTCAACTAGTAAAGGTCACATAAATTAAATGACATTACCTACCAGCAGTACTTATCTGCATCTGTTTGTTTCTCTGACAACACTAACTATATGACCTGGACCTTTTCTAAGAGCTAAGTACTTTACTCATATTAAATAATTGAATCTTCCCAACAACTCACGGAGACAGATGGTGTTTATCCTCATTTTGTAAGATAAGGACAGTGAGATTTAAGGAAGTTAACAAATGTACCCACAGATGAACAGCCAGTGAGAGAAGGACTAAGATTTTGTTTCAGATTTTTTCAACTATAAAGCCCATATTGGTAACACTACTTTGGGTATTGCTTGTAGAGAATTTTCTAAATAAGAGGATACTTTTATTTTATTAGGCTAAAGAAAACAATTGAATATTTGGTAGCATTTAAAACAGAATTGCTAATGAACACAATTCTCAATTAAGATGACTGTCATATCTTTCTTCTCACTTAAGAAAAATGAATACTATTTTCTGAGGTACCAAAACTTCAAATGGAATAGAAAGGCATAGGACTGCTAAGGTTTTGGAATCTTCTTCACCTCCACCAATGTTGAAGGAAGGAAATTGTAAAGTGTTTTTGCATTTTAATACATAGTAAGTGTGAGGTAGCCAGAGGGATGCAAAGAACAGTAGCTAAGAGGTTGAAGCTTTGGGTATAAGGACTTGTCAGAATGACCTTATTCAAGTTTCTTAACCTTTGAGCTTCATTCTTTTGTATTAAGTGATAATTTCTGCTGTCTTTGGGGTTGTTGTGAGGATCAAATGATATAGTTCGTTAAACAAACATAAATTGGTATTATTCAAAAGTTTAGGTGAAACATATTCCTGGTAATCTATATTATATAAAGAGAAATAATGTACTTTCTGTAAATGACATTTAGTGTATTTCTTACCTATTCAGCATTTAATTTTTATTAAATTTCACTAAATATACATTGTAATATTGATACAGAAATTTGAATCAAAGCACGTATCCTTATATGTATTATAGACGTATTGTATACACTGGTTGAAAACTATGCCTGCTAGTTCAGTTAGTCTGCACACCTAACGGTGAATAATTTCCACTCCCTATATTTATGTATCCTGATCCTTTGTCATATTATAATGGTTAACTGATGTTTAACCATAGGGTTCATTGGTCAAATAGTGTGCTTAAGGGGATAGTTTTACTTTGAGTAATTATTCACCAGAAGATTGTAGGTTATATGTGAGAGAAAGCTTTAGTAAGCTTTTATTAGTTATTTAAATTATGTATAACGTGTAATAGCTTAGCCTTTTAAATAGTTCTTAAATCATTTGGTCTTTGAAGAATTTTCATCAATGCCTAGTTTTATTAATTGAATTATTATGAGTCTGCTTCCTCATCTGTAAAATTGTGGGGTTGGATCTCGAAGCTCTTTCCAGTTCCAAGGTTTAAGATCCTAACTTTGAACTGCCCTACCAAAACAACTCAAGGATCAGTCTCTAGTTAGATCATGACAACCCATCAAAAGAAAATAGGCAAAGTAGACTGACTACTTTAGGCTTATATGATCATTTAGATAATGGTTTTCAGTTATAGAAGACAAAATTTTTGTAGAAAATGTACATAGAGATCTATGAAGCAAAAATGAATGGGTATTGATAGATCTATGAAGCAAAAATGAATGGGTATTTTATACTTCTAGTCTCATAATCACTTCTGATATAAGTTCAAATAATCCTTTCAATGTTTTTAAATGTTTTTCATGTAATACATACATTTATATATACCTTTGTGTGTACATTTTCATTCAATAACAGCATACCTATTATGTGCCAAGCAGTATTTTAAGCAGCAGAGATAAGTGGTGAACAAGACAGATGAAATCTCTGTCTATGGAGTTTACATTCTAGGGGGGGAGATGAACAAAGAAGAATTTCAGATGATAGTTGCTAGCACAAAGTAATGATGGTAACTTTGGGGGTTGGGGTAGAGGGGAATATAATATTACAAACAATTTGGACAGGCTTCTTTAAAGAGAATTGAGTCCTAGCTGGTTTGGCTCAGTGGATAGAGCATCAGCCTATGGACTGAAGGGTCCTGGCTTTGATTCCAGTCACCTTTAATAGTTCTAGTACATTGAACACTAGGCTCTCTTTAATCCAATTATGGGACTATAATAGCCTGCAAGATATTTCTACTTGAATAATTCAAAAACTTAACTGCAAATGAGCCCATTTTCTCTGTACTACCTTTCCCCAAACAAGATCCCTTTGCCACATCTCTAATTCTTATCAGTGGTATTACTATTTTATCAATCATCCATGCTCACGACCACAGAATAATCCTTGACTCTCCTTTATTCTCTATGTCCAAACAGTCACCAAGTATTTCTTCAAATGGATTCTCTCAATCACAGATCCCACTCCATCCTGGTAGATATCAACCTCCTTCAGGTTTTCATCACTCCATATCTGCCACTCCATTACCTATACCATCACCTGTTTATCCTTCTTAAAAAAATCAATTTGGCCCTTACCAGTTTGGCACAGTGGATAGAGTGTTGGCATGTAGACTGAAGGGTCCCAGGTTTAATTCCAGTCAAGGGCACGTACCTTGGTTTCAGGCTCTTCCCAAGCCCGGGCCCTGGTCGGGGCACGTGAAGGAGGCAGTCAATTGTGTGTGTTTTTTTCACATCAATATTTCTGTTTTTCCCTCTCCCATTCTCTCTAAAAGTCAATGGAAAAAATATTCTTGGGTGAGGATCAACAACAACAAAATTAAGAGATATTAGCTCAGCCAAAACCGGTTTGCCTCAATGGTAGAGCGTCGGTCTGTGGACTGAAAGGTCCCAGGTTCGATTCCAGTCAGGGGCATGTGCGTTGGTTGCGGGCACATCCCCGGTGGGGGTGTGTGCAGGAGGCAGTTGGTCGATGTTTCTCTCTCATCGATGTCTCTAGCTCTCTATCTCTCTCCCTTCCTCTTTGTAAAAAAAAATCAATAAAATATATTTTTAAAAAAAAGATTAGCTCAAGGACACAGAAGACAATTATAATACACTGTAATAAAAGCTATCAATAATGCATAAAATCTTATTTAAGTAGAGAATCATGGGCCAAACACTAGGAAAAGAGGACAGGGAGAGAAGATATTCACAGGTAACACTTTTTAAAGGATAAATTGAGTAGTTAATAGAGATTAAAAAAAATTTTTTTTTTCCCCAAAGAAGGGAATAACATGTAAAGGCATAAAGGCACAAGATTTCACGATGTGTTCAGTGAACACCAAGTGTTGTTCCTCTCATTCTTGAAGAATGAAAGCTGAGTGTAAACATTTGCAGTTTCTCAAAGTCGACTATTTTGTAAGGACAAAAATTTTCCTATACCTCTAAGAATATTCTTCGGAACAGAGGGGTTTGACTATCCCAGTTTGATGATTTAAGAAGTGAAAATTTGCTCTGTGAAAATGTCTCATTTAAAAATTATCTCTAGAATAATTTATTTATTTTTAAATATATTTTTTTATTGATTTCAAAGGAAAAGGGAGATGGAGA